TTTTTAAAAAAAATTGGATGATTCTGATTTGTAAAAAAATAAAAAATAGCTTTACTTTAAAGTTTGGATTCTTTCCATTATTTATTGTACATTAAATGTCATATATTGAATAAATGATTTAGAAAAAATCAAAACGGTAAGATTTAATAATATTATTTAAGTAAAAAGTATTGTATAAAGAGAAGTGTTCATAATCTATATTTTTTTTTTCATTAATTGTATTTATTTTATTTTTGTAATAGACGAGAAGTGAAAAATATAAAGAATTGTATTTACAATAAAGTCTAAAAAAATGTTCAAAATATGAGCTCCTCCGTGCATAGCAAATGATATACACTAGTTTTGAAAAGTGTTTGTTAGTTTTTTGAAATTCAAATTAAAAAAAAGTCAAAAATTTAGTATTTGTATAGAATCAATTTGGTTAAATATTGCTGCTATTACCTTTATTAGTTGTTTGATTTAAATTTGATAGATAATATATTGGCAAACAAAAATGATTTTTATGTTATAAGTTTTAGTTTATTGTTCTGCATTCGGTGAAAACTTGTTAGACATGTTTCCATTTAAAAACAGTTTAAAAAATTTTTAGGTGACTTTATATTTTTCAAAAATAATATAGAAGATTTTAAATACTTTTACATATGTTATATAATATTTTAGATGTTTATAAATTTTTAAACATACATGTTTTATGTTCTGTATACAAGATAATTTTATATTATTTACAAGAAACTGATAGTGTATTCATTTGGGACTTCTAAAACTTAAGAATTTAAAAAATCTGGTGTATTTAATTTAGACCTAAAGTCTTGAAATATTTATTTGAAAACTTAAAAATTCTTAAAATATCCTTAAATATTCAACAAATTTTGATATCAAGATTTGTTAGGTCTTTTTAAGATTAGCTATGATTTAAAAGAAAAAAAACATTATACAAAATTTCACTCTAAATCTCTCATTCACACTTTTAAAGTTAATAACTTTTGTATTTTTTATCAGTTCAACATATATAATGTATTATCAAATTAATCATCTCTTGATGACCTTCGATTTAACATCCATCTTGGATGTATGAAAAAAATTAATTATATATTTTTTATAATAATAATAAAATTAATATTTAATATTATTTAAAGAAATAAAATTATTTATCAATTAAATTAATATATTTATGTTTCAAGTAATTATATGATATATAAGTTATAAACACATGTAAGTCGCACAACTAACAAGTGTCATTCTAAAATATATAATAATATATTTTTTTTTTTGTAAGAAACTAATTAAAAATTAAAATATTTTTCTCATTAATTTTAAAAATTTGAGAATAATTTTTTTAACAAAAACCCGTGTAATACACGAGTGTTGTACTAGTTATCATTATATCACTACGATATCTATAGTTAGTTTTTTAGGGGAATATGTAAGTTTAAATGCCTTTTAAGTATAAATTTTAATATATAAATTCTATTACAATGACTCAATAATTTATTTGGTAAGTTATTGCCTTAATGAACAGTTAGCAAATGAGTCTTCTCCGTGTGGATGTATGAGAGTTTGCCACTTAAGCTCAACACATTCTAAAATTATATATAGGGGATTATGCACAAAAGAAAAACATAAGATAAAATATTTTATACATATAGTTTATAAATAAGAAGAA